TTAAACCACACAGTATCTCCTTGTTGTGTTTGAATGACAGCCACCTGGTCTATGTACAGGTTCCTCATGAGCACGATTAAGTGTTCTGGAATTCTCATTCTTCTCAATATTATCCATAATTTGTTATGACCCACACAGTCAAATGCTTTTGCATAGTCAACAGAACACAAATAAACATCTTTCTGGTATTCTTTGCTTTCACCCAAAATCCATCTGATATCAGCAGTGATATCCCTCATTCCACGTCCTGTTCTGAATCCTGTTTGCACCTATGGAAGTTCTCTGTCAATATACTTCTGTAACTGTTTTTTACTCGCGTGTGATATTAATGGTATTGTTTGATAATTTCTGCATTGTGTAAGATCACCTTTCTTTGGAATGGGTACAAATAATAGAACTTTCCAAGTCAGCTGGCCAGGTAGCTGTCTTCTAAATTTCTTGACATAGACAAGTAAGTGCTTCCAGTATGGCATACATTTATTGAGACATCTCAGTGGGTATTCTGTCAATTCCTGAAGCCTTGTTCTTTGCCATATTCTTCAGTGCAATTTAGTGAAAAATACTCAGTTATGTGCTTGTCTACCAGAATCCAAGAGCTGAAAAATTCATATAATGAGTGATTTCATGGGTCCCTTAATGACCTTATGATTTTTCATGGCTTTAAGTATTCTCTGTATTTGCTTTCAGCTTATGAATCCATCAATTTTAAAATATCCACTACTCTTACCTTGAACCAAGCCAAAATCATCCTTCCAGATTATTCCAGTATGCTCTTAACTGGTCCTTCTACTTTTACTTGGAAGCTGGAAACTTCTACTGTTCTTATAAAAGCCAAGTCATCCTTTAGAAATACAGATTAAAGCTGTTGGCATCTACTCAGTTCTGACTCATAGCAATCCCATGTGTTTCAGAAAAGAGCTGTGCTCTAAGGTTTTCTATGGCTGTGATCTTTTGGAAGTAGATCATTAGACCTTTCTTGTCAGGTGCCTTTGGGTGGGTTTGAACTGTTATCTTTTCTGTTAATAGCTGAGGGCTTAACCATTTGTGTCACCCAGGGTCTCCTTAAAATAGAGATTAGATCTTAACAATTCCCTGCGTCAGTATCTTCCCATCAAACTTAACATAAAAGCTATAGTTCTGATTACCTCTCTGTTCCAATTACACTGGCTTCTTATAGTTTCTCAAATGTACTAGGCACATTCCTGGTTGGAGCCTTCCTGGTTCATTCTTCCTGTGCTTGGAATGTTCCCTTTGTAAAATATTCGTATAGCTCAGTCCCTCACTTCCTTTAAGTTACTTTATCAATAAGGCTTTCAGTGATAACCTCATGTTTAAAAAATTAGCATCTTGCCTTCCTGTTTGTTTGTACATTTGTTTTTTACCTATTTCAGTGTGTTAGGATATAATTTCATGAGGACAGGGATATTTGTCTTTTTTGTTTATACCTGTAGCCCCAGCTGGTAGAAAAATGTTTTTGATACATCGTATGAGCTCAGAAAATATTTGATGAGTGAAAAAATAGTTATAGTTGGAAACTAAAAGGTATAGTTTTCTGTGAGAGCTTGATTCATTCCCCAAATAGAACTCATTTGAAAGAATTTTCAGACTTAAGAATTGGAATGATGAATTTTTAAAATTTACTTTTTGCCTTGGACAAATTCTATAATTGCTGTGATTTCATTCCTTTGCCAGTAAAACAGGGAATCCTCATAAGATATTTTAAAGTTAATAGGCACTTTTTAAAGGCTGGCTGTATTTATTTTTAGTCTGTGACAGTACTGTGGCTAAATTTGGGACAAGTTTCCCATTTAAATTAAATCATATGACCATATGTAGTATTTCTAAGGTAAGAGAATTTTTTTGTGAAGATCCACAACCTGTTGAAGATTAATCTGAAATAAAAATGGAACATTGCTGAAATGTCACTGTAAGGCATTGAAAACAGTATTTTAAAATTCAATGTGTATTGTGTTTTTATGATTTTTTTATTGTACAATCTTTTGGATAGAGCATTGGCTTCTGATTCAGACATACATGTATTTAAATTTAGCATCTTCTAGTTAATACTTGTGAACATTGCAAAAGTTGCAAGCTCCTTTGAACTGTTGTTTTCCTGTTTATAAAACAGGGGTAATCACAGTCTAGTTGTATTATTCTGTTATTATCACTGAGTTATTTAGAACTGTCCCATAGGGTTTCCGAGGCTCTAATCTTTTCCTTTTTAAAATTTTTATTGTGATTTGGGTGAAAGTTTACAGAGCAATTTCATTTTCCATATAGCAGTTCATACACATTTTGTCTCATAACATTGACTAAAATTTCCCACAATGTAACATCTGTCTTCCCCTTCCTCCCCATAGTTACCTCTTCCCTATGTCCTTCCCTCCATGCACTTCTGCCCCCAAGTGGTCTCCCTGTGCATACACTACCCTTCTGTTCTCAAATGCTTGATCTCTCCAAGGAGTGTATGTACCTGATGTAAACATTCAGAGGCTTTAATCTCTACAGGAACAGATAGCCAGTTATTTTCTCCTGTGGAGTGGCTGGTGGGTTCAAATCAGCAACCTTTTGGTTAGCAGACAGGTGTTTTAACCATTGCACCACCAGGACTCTAAGTGGATTATTGTGTTATTGTTGTTAGGTGCCATCAAGTCAGCTCCGACTCACAGCAACCCTATGTACAACAAGAAAACACTGCCTGGTTCCAGTACCAGCTTCACTTGCAGTACCAGCTTCATCTTTGCTATACTTGAGCCCATCATTGCAGCCACTGCATCAGTCCGTCTTGTTGAAGGCCTTCCCCTTTTTCACTGACCCTTCACTTTACCAAGCATGATACCCTTCTCTAGGGAACAGTCCCTTCTGACAACCTGACCAAAAGTAGGTTAGATGAAGTTTGGCCATTCTCACTTCTAAGGATCATTCCTGCTGCACTTCTTCCAGGACAGATTTGTTCATTCTTCTGGCAGTCCATGGTATTTTCAGTATTCTTTGCCAACACCACAACTAAAAAGCATCAACCCTTCTTCCATCCTCCTTGTTCGTTGCCCAGCTTTTCTCATGCATATGAGGCTATTGAAAATACCATGGGTTGGGTTAGGTGCACCTTAGTCTTCAAAGAGACATTTTTGCTCTTCAGCACTTTAAAGTTGGTCTTGTACAGCAGAATTTTCCAGTGAAATATGTCATATGATTTCTCTACTGTTGCTTACATTGGTATTGATTGTGAAACAAGTATATGAAATCTTTGACAACTTCAGTCTTTTCTCCATTTATCCTGATGCTGCTTATTGGTCCAGTTGTGAGGATTTTCATTTTATAACATAATCTATCTGATTCCTGTTGTATTCCACCTGGCGAGGTTCATGTGTATAGCTGCCATTTATGTTGTTGAAGAAAGGTATTTGCAATGAATAAGTCGTTGGTATTGCAGAATTCGGTTATGCGATCTCCAGTGTCTTTTTTTTCACCAAGATCATATTTTCCAACTACTGGTGATGATTCTTTGTTTCCAGCTTTCACATTCCAATCACCCATAATAAACAGTACTTCTTGATTGCATATTTGGTCAATTTCAGACTGCAGAGGTTGGTAAAAATCTTCAGTTTCCTCATCTTTGGCTTTGGTGGTTGCTGTGTAAATTTGAATAATAGTAGTAGTAATCAGTCTTCCTTGTAGGTGAATGGATATTATCCTGTCACTGACAGCACTGTACTTCAGGATAGACTTTGAAACATTCTTTGTGATGATGAATGCCATGCCATTCCTCTTCAATTTGTCATTCCCAGCATAGTAGATCATACGGTTGTCTGATTCAGAATGGCCAAAACCAGTCCATTTCATCTCAGTAATACCTAGGATGTCAATCTTTATGCATTCCATTTCATTTTTGACAACTTCCAGTTTTCCTAGATTCATACTTCATACATTCCACGTTACTGTTTTTAGTGGATGCTTACAGTTGTTTCTTCCCATTTTGAGTCATGCCACATCAGCAAATGGAGGTCCTGGAAGCTTTACTTTGTCCATGTCAGTAAGGTCGACTACTTTGAGGAGGCAGTTCTTCCCTGGTCGTATTTGGATTGCCTTCTGATCAGAGGGGTCCGTCTTCAGGCACTATATCAGACAGTGTGTCAGCGCTATTCATAAGGTTTTCACTGGTCAGTTCTTTGAGAAGTGGATGGCCCCTTCCATCTTCTGAGTCTTTTGTAGTCTGGAAGCTCTGCTGAAACTGCCTATCTTGGGTGACCCTGCTGGTATTTGAAATACCAGTGGCATAGCCTCCAGCCTCATAGCAACATGCAAGCCACCACAGTATAACAAACTGAGGAACAATTGGCGGAGCTGGATTATTAAGGAAGGTAAAATAATAAATTGTACGTGGAGTCTATTATAGTGCCTGATATATAAGAAGCACTCTAAGTTTTATTATTATTTTGAAAACATATACAGATTGTGAATAAAGTATTGTGTCTGCTATTATAGTGTCAGAATTGTCGTTTCTTTCAGAGTAGTTACCCATTAAGAGGTTATCCATTTATTCCCATGATACTGTGATTAGTTTAAGTGTTTTAGGAATTAACCTTTCAGAATTGTCTTTGATATTTGCGATTTAGTCTTTTGAAATCCCCTATTTTGGGGAGTGGATTTTATTTTTCACATTTCATCAAAATGAGTAAAGGTTAAGTTTGAAAATCTAATTTTTGGAACAGCAGTGAAGTAGATTATAAAATAATGAAACTCTTACCCTGCAGTGGATTGGTCTTCAATCAATTATGTATCAAACATATTTAATATTATCAATATATTTTTTGAAATTAGTGTATAATCTGTGATCATCTCTCATATGTAAGTATTGATTGCCTTATTAAAAACTTACTCCTTTGGTACTTATTTCTTTCTCTTTTATTAGCATAATTATATCATCCTTTTTATTATGTAGTCAGTAATTTGCTTCTTGTTTTTTGAAAAAAATGAATTTTTTTAACCTGTCTCCTCAGCGCTCACCAGAATATACCAATTGCCGATACCTATGCAAACTTTGCTTAATTCACATTGAAAACATACAGGGAGCTCATAAACATATAAAGGAGAAACGACATAAGAAAAATATTCTGGTAAGTTCTTTTTAAAAAGTATTTCTTTTTATAGTGGTGAAATCAATTTTTTTTATTTATGAAACTAAAAATGAAGTACTCTTCCACTCTTAATAACTGATGCAATAGCCTTGAAAGCTGTGATTGCCTTTCTTATCTCAGGTGGTCAGGTGGTAAACCTTCTCAGAGACCAATTTGCTCATCCCAAAGAATGTTGATTCCTAAATTTAAAGCTGACACATACAGTCAGTGTAACTGATATTTATTGAGTTCTTATGTACTGGGACTAAGGCAGTGGTAAATAAGATACTCTTGGACCTTATCCTTAGAATTGGTAAAATATTGGTGAAGACATATACTGAATAAGGGTTTAAATATGATGAGTCTTATTAAAAAGGAAAATGTGGATTTAAGGGAATGTACAGTTATTTTACTTAGTCTAGGACAGCGAAGTTTTCTGTAAGGAATGATGTTTAGTTGAAACTTGAAGTAGCAGTTAAAAAGGCAAAAAGGTGAGTGTCATAGGTAAGTGGAGAGCATTTTCCACAAGAGAGCAGTGTAAATAAAGGTTTCTAGTCAGGAAAAGATGGCATATAAAGAACTCAAGAGTCTAATATGATTGGAGCAAGGAGAGTTGAGAGAGAATAATGGCGATGAAGCTGGAGATTTTAGAAACATGCAGTGCCTTATAAGCTTTGATAGTTGTGATTTCATGATTTTTTAGTTACTTATATTAAAGCTAGACTTAGATATTATGAGTAGAATGCTTGTATTTTTAAAATTTACTAGTATGTTAGCTATTTAATTTTTTCTTTTTAAAATTTTACAAATACAGTGTGTAACCTCTTACTTATCTTTAAGTCTCAACTTGTGTATTTCTTACTTGACCCTCTCAGCAAATTTGGGCTAAGTACTCTTTCTCTGTGCTTTCAAAGCAGTTTTTGAATACCTTAATCAGAAAACTTAGTATTCTGATTTTTAGTCTGCTTTCTTGTTGCTCCTTCTAGACTTCAGTATTCAATATTTTAGAGGGCAGATTTGGTTTCTTCTGTGTTTTTGTTTCTACATTGCTTATGACAGTATCTAAAACATACTAGGTGCTTAGTATATGTAGCTGTATAGGATTTGTGATTGTGGTAAAGTTAGAGTAACAGGGATCAGATTTTAGTTCATTTTGCACTAAGCACCAAAAAGGGGGAAAAAAGACAAAAATAACAAAATGCTTTTAAAGATACTAGAAAGCAGGCAGTAAAAAATTATGATTCCTGAGAGATGGAAAGGTGAGTCTGATGATTGTCCCAACTTGAGGAAGTTTCCACAATGCATTATAGGAAGGGGAAACCGGTGGAATCCCAGAGATAAAGAGACAAATGTTAGAGTTCAAGGAATGGAGAAAAGAAGGCTGGAATGAGAGAGCCTCAGAGATCTGTGGAGGGCCCCCTTAGAGTGTTCAGCAGAATACTGATTGGTGTATGCATGTGAGGAAGGTACTTGAAGCCAGGGAAAGAACCAGCCAAGGCAGTTTGAGAGAATGGTCCTTGGTGCTCAGATAAGGCTGGAAATAGTGGCTTTCCACCATCCATTTTTAAAAATGTCATCTTTCCTGGGACATTGGATAAGCATTTTCAGAAGAATGTTAGGAATGGGAATAATTAGCCATAAGGTAATTATGGCTCTGGTCTCATCTAAAAAATCTTAAAAGAAAGACCCAGAAGTGTCATCATTTCTAAACATTTCCAGAGCAAAGCTTAAGACTGTTCATAGAAATACAAAAGTATACATCACCACCAGAAATTTGCATTGTCTAGCATTCAATCAAAAAATACCAGGTATGCAAGGAGACTAGCATATAAAACCCATGATAAGGAGAAAAATATGCCAATTGGTAAGGGACTTTCAGTTTCTGGTCTGAGTTTTAAGGAGCTTGGGAGTTGTCATTTCCTTCCCCACAACAAGAAAAAAGCTGAATACACTGGAAATCAATAAAACTTCATCTTAGATCCGTTAGAGAATTGAAGTCACAGGGCAAAACTGCCTCAAAAAGTAGAGAAACAGACAGGGATTTATTGAGACACTACTCAGTACAGGTAGGAAGCCTTTTTTTCATAGTTGGTCAGTTACTAGGGACTCAGTGTGAACTAGCTTGAGAGTTTAAAATTCTGGAGGGGTGGGAAAAGGGAGCTTCTACACTTTTGTGAGTTTTAACTCTAGGAATCCCACCAGGTTCTTACTATGAAGATAAGAAAAAAAAATCCTCTCATTCTTCCATCAGTATCAAGGGAAAAGGAACCATTTAAAAATATTCCTAGTTCTTTCTGTTCTCCTTAATAAATCCTGCCATCCTCAGAGGAAACTGTTTTACCAGAGTCTACCTGACTTGGGTTTTACCAAACCCTAACTGGCCTGGGAGAAGGGAAATACCCAGCTCTGGATCCCTTTAGTCTTTCTGTCTCACGTAGCTGGAAGAAAACGGAGACACACTTGTGAAGGTCACTGCTCAGGGACACAGGCTCACTAAAAGATTCTGACACCTATCATGTTGTTGTCATTATGTGCCATCGAGTCAGACCCAACTCATAGTGACCCCTCCTTGGGTTTCCGAGGTAGTATCACTATAGAAGTAGATTGCCCAGACTTCCTTTCAAGGAGTGGCTGGTGGGTTAAAATGCCTCCTTTCCTTATACCTTACCACCCCATCAGAAGAGCTTCTGTATGATAATGGGATCACGACTAAAAGAACTGCAAGCTTCAGACCCTATTTAAGAAAAATTATTTAGGGAAACCCAAAGTAACAGAGGAGACAAAAATAAGGATGTTAGAAGGAATTTTAACCTTTGTCACCACAGCTACAGCAAACTAAACATTTCCTGGCTCCTAACCAGGTAAACATAAATCCTCAAATTTGTGACCTTAGGTTTTTTTATTTTTTTAATTAAAAAACCTAATCTATCATGTTCACCTTTCAACAAAAAAAATTATTAGGTATGCTAAAAGGCAATCTACAGAGACAAGCCAAACCTCAGAACGAGATATATCAGTGATTTTGGAATCATCAGATTGGGAGTTTAAGACAATTATGATTAATATGCTGAGGGCTCTAGTCTGAAAAAAGGACAGTAGGCAACATATAATAACATATGGGTAATATAAGCAGAGTTGAAAACTCTAAGAAATAATAAAAAATAAATGGTAGAAATGAAAATATAGTGTATCAAAAATGAAGAATACTTTTGGGTTCATAAATCGATCGCACATGACTGAGTAAAGAAAAAGTGAGTTTGAAGATAAGTGAGGAGGAAGTCCCCAGTCTGAAAAGCAAAGGTATGGAAGAATTAAACAGAACAGAATATCCAAGAACCGTGAAACATTTACAAAAATTGTAAAGTATGCATAATGGGAATACCAGAAGGAGAAGGAGAAAGGATAAGAAATATTTAAAGTAATGATGGTTGAGACTTTTCCAAGACAGCTAATCACAGATATAGGAAACTCAGAAAATAGCAAGTAGGATAAATACCAAAAAATCTGCACCTAGGCATATCATATTGAAACACAGAAAATCAAAGACAAATAGAAAATCTTAAGCCAGAGAAATAAAACACCTGTTTATAGATGAACAACAGCAGCAGCAGCACACTGTCGTAGAGTCGGATCTAACTCATAGCGACCCCTCCTTGGGTTTCTGAGGTAGGATCACATTGCCCAACCTTCCTTCCAAGGAGTGACTGGGGGGTTTGAACCACCAGCCTTCTGGTTAGCAGTCAGATGCCTTAGGCACTATGCCACTAGAGCTCCTTACAGATGAACAGTTATTAGAATTATGTACAATTTCCCTTGAAACCATGCCAAAAGGAAATGGAGTGAAATATTTAAATGTAGAAAGAAAGAAATTACCAATCTAGAATTCTGTACCTAGTAAAATTATCCTTCAGTAGTGAAGGAGAAATTCTTTCTCAGACAAAAATTGAAGACATTTACTGCCAGTAGACCAACCTTGTAAGAAATGTTAAAGGAGTTCTTCAGAGAGAAGGAAAAGGATACAGATCAGAAACTCAGATCTACGTAAAAGAGTGTTCGAGATGGAATGAAGGTAAAATCTTATTTTTCTTTTTCCTAAATGATTCAGTGGATAGCAATTTGTTCAGAATAATAGTGACAGTATATCAGGTGATTGTTGTTTATGGATATGTGAAATGACTGACAGCAGTGTGATGGGAGGGAAAAATTGGGACTACTATAAGATACTTGCACTACCCATTGAATGGTATACTGTTTTTTGAAAGTAGACTTAGATTAATTGTAATGTATATTGGAAACACTAAGGCAATCACTAACAAAGTTTTAAAAAGCATAACTGATGTATTGAGAGGAGAGAAAATGGAATCATATAAAATGCTTAGTTAAAACTAGAAAAGAAAGAAAAAGAGTGGAAGACAGAAAAAAAAACAAAGATAACAAGGGCAACAGAGAATAAAGAGTTATATGTTGTTACTTGCTATCAGGTTGGCTCCAACTCATGATGATATTATGGATAACTGGACAAAATATTATCTGGCCTCGTGCCACTTCATGATTGTTAGTATGTTTGAGTCCATTTTTGTAGCTATTGTGTCAGCCTGTCTTATTGAGTATTTCTCTTGTTTTGTCCTGATCCTCTACAATACCAGCTATGATGCCCTTTCCTAGCAATTAGTCTTTCCTGATAATGTGTCCAAAGTAAGCAAGTCCAAGCTTTGCCATTCTTGCTACTAAGGAGCGTTTCATTAGAAATATGCTAGAAACTAATTCAACTGTGTTATTAATCACTTTAAATGGAAGTGGTCTAAATACACCAATTAAGAGACTAAGTGGATAAAAAAGAAAGCCCAACTAAATGTTGTCTACAAGTGATTTTACTTTAAATATAAAGACAAAGAGTATAAAAATAAAATGATAGAGAAAGCTGTACCATGCTAACACTAATCAAAGAAAGCTGGAGTAGCTTCATTAATTTTCAGACAAAGCGGACTTCAGAGTGAGGA